TTATAATAAATATTTAGTCCGTTCAACATACTTAAAATACTAATGTCTTATAATGGATATATCATTTTTAAATTACTGAGTATAACGAAGTCAATATGAAAAATACCAACTACCAAGTCAAAATCTATCATTAAGTATTATTTTTCATGCTAAATATTTAATTGAAAATTACTTACTATATTTTATACCCAAAAAAAGTAGACTGATATTTTAATTATTTAGTATAATTAATTATATATGTGTTTGACTAATGACTATATTATGAAAAATATTTTGACTTAAGTTAGATTATAGTTACAATGATCGATATCAAAATCAAATTATGAAGTTTATAATTAGAAATTATTAATTTAATAATTTAAAATATAAATATAAATTTATGTAAATTATTATAAATTTAAAATTAATATTTATCAAATTTAATCTAATTTAAATTCAATGTGAATTGATTAATACAAAAATTTGAAAATATGTTTATACGTTGTTTAGATGATAAAAAAAAAAAAAGTTTACAACATAAAAAAAAAATCATAATTAATTATTGAGTCACCATTACTCACATGGTGAAGTAAAATCTATGCGAAATCTATGCAGAGAGTAGGTGTTTTTACCTTTACCTAGCTCATATATTCTTCATCCACGACTCTAAAGGTGAAAGAAAACATAGAAAAATGGGAGAGAAAAAGAGTGAATAGTGAATCACTTCCAAGTGGAAGATAAGCAAGAATGATGAATTTACCAAAAGGAGAAATTATTTGATAAAAGTTCTTAAAGGATAAAGTTCTCTAAGGAGAGAGCAAGACTTTGAAGAGAGAAGTTTTGAAAACTTAATTCTCAAATTATGCATCAAAGTGACATCTAATATATTAGAATATTTTATATATAGAGTTTGTTAACTTGTGGTACAAGTTAAGTTAACTAAGGTTAGGTTAATTTATACTTAAGCCAACAAACTATAGTTTAACTTTTGATAGCGTTGCCAACTAACTATAAAAAAAATTACTAGATTTTTAATATAAGGAACAATCTAGGTCATTCTTCTTGAAGACACAAGTCAATAGGATCCAAAATTATCATGCAATTAGGAAGGGGATTTTTATGAACAACAAAGAAAAATTAAAATATTTCAATTGTTACGATAAAGTTTTCACGGTTCAAATTATAATTCAAATTCAATCAACCTAAATCATCATGAACATAATCTAAATGTAGATCTATTAAATTTTATAAAAATGAGAAACATAATCGCAATCTCATAATTTTCACGAAATTCAAGAACAGTGAATGATTTAGGCGATTTAGGTTATTTTAGGTATAGATCTAAATCTAGATCTAAATCCAAAATTAATCTTCAAATTTGATCCAAATTTATTAAAACAATGAAAAATGGAAAATAGATCTTGAATAAAAAAAATACAAAGAGAATTCGTACGGTAAAAATAAATCAAGAACTCAAATTTTACCGTAATTCATGAAACCTTGAACCGAATGAATGGATTAGCCACACATCTTCATCAAGATGTTGCAGTTCCTTCTTGTAGAAAAATGCAAAGAGAAAAATTTTGAGAGAGAAAAAGAATTTAGAATAACTTGTAGAGAAAACAACTCTAAAATATGAAAAATGAGTGTAAAGTGTAGATAACAAGTCTCGCAACACTTATTAATAGAAAAATATAGTGGGCCTAATCAAAATATTTACAAGGCCCGATCCACTAAATTAACTAATTACATCAATAAACAAATCCTAACATTATATTCTAAAAATAAAAAGAAAATACTATGCAAGGTCACAACATTTCAATGCATTTTTGGGTCAATTAGTGTTCAAACTAGCCTTTGCTCTCGAAAAAGAATATGTAGAATACTTTATTATCTTTCTAAGGATATCAAGAATGTCCAAATATGATGTTTTGAGCTCCAAGAAGAATGGGCTAGACATGAAGATTTGAGCTAGTTTAGAGCCCAATGGACCCGATGGGCTTGGTGGGCCCAAGTTGTTCCTCACATGGGCCACATCTAGAGATTTACATTACCTTGTATTTGTATTAGTATATGTTCATATATTTTGATCTTGTATTTTGAACCACTTAGAATAGGAATTTGGGCCTTAAGTTTCATAGGCTTAGTTTTGGGCTTTATGGGCCTTTGGACTTTTGGTACTCAATATGGGGCTCATTTTGTTTCTTTAAATATTTCCTATTGATTGTATTTGGTTGGTCAATGTATTTAGGCCTTTAGAGTAGGAAATTGGAAGAAAATTTAAATAGGTAAATAATGTCAAATCTAAGTTTCATTTAGGAGCCATTTGAGTTGAATTTAGGTCACATGTTTTAAGCCATGGGTGGCTGAACATGTGCACATCTAAATCAAAATCAAATGCTTTATAAATGCAACTTAGATGCACCTTGGATCCATATTTCACGGAAGTGCACATGGGGCTAGAAATTTGAATTCAAATTTCTCATTTGTATTCAAATTTGGGCGCCAATTGTATGCTTAGTGACTTGGCGCCAAAGAGCCTTGGGTCCAGACCTATTTAAGTCTCTTCTTTCACTCTTGTACACACTTTTGATGCATAATTGAGAAATCTGATCATTGATTCAACCTTTTCTCTCTCAAAGTCTCTCATGCCTAGCCTTAAGTTCTTTGAGCTTTCTCTAGGTTTAGGCATCTTTATGAGTAATCCATTACTCACCTTGCTTTGGTGCTTCCTTCCCTTTAATTCTTTCGTCTTCAAGCCTCATTCAAGCTGAAATTTGCGTTCGACAACCTTCAAGGAGAAGATCAAGTGTCCGGAGCAAGTTTAAGGTGAAGAACATCATTCTTCTTCACCTAGATTTGCCATCATTTTTGGTATCAAGAGCATTGGTTCGCTCCTTGAAGTTATGTCCCTTCTTTCACCATTTATTTTTCTGTGTTTGATTCTTGGATTGTCTCATTAGTGGCTCGCTGTTTGGATCTAGTTCTTATTCAAAATTTTGATGGATCCAATTAGGTGATTGCATTTTTTGTTCAATCCGGCAATCTCAAGAGTCTAGGCTTCTTCCTTGTGCGGTTTCTATTTGTTTGAGTCTTGATTCTTATAATTTTGATTCAATCATTCTTGTCAATTGCATGTGAATTTTATTTTTGAATCTTATTGAATGTCTAGAGTCATGTTTAGTCATTTGACTGTCAATATTTCAAGATATGCTTAGTTGAACTACATTTCTTTTAGTTTGATTCTAATTGAATTGATTTGGTCGAGAGCTTCAAAATTGGTGTGTTTAAATTTGTGCTTTTCATTTTACTACTTTGAGTTCATATCCATTATAAGTTCATTGATGGATTCTTAGAGTTAGGTTTCTATTGTGTCTTACTTGTTTGTATTGTTTTTTATTCCAAGAAAATCTTCTAAAAATTGTGATCACATTTCCTAGGTTTTTGGTTAATTGAAGTAGCTCAATTTTGGTGCATGAACTTCAGTTTGTGAATTTGAAAAATAGCTTAAAAAAAATAGAGGAAAACAGAACAATTATTGAAAAAGAAATTTGAAAGAGAACTTGGAATAAATCAAGCAAGTGTTTGACATAGAACATGCACCAAATCTACACAAATTTTGAACTACTTTTGGCTGAAAATTTTGAACCAATCCGGACTTAACTCTTTGATAAGTAGTGGCTGGAAAATTTTATGGAAAAAGGAAAATGACTTCTCAAGTGATTCAAAAGAGAATTGAAAAGAAAGTAAAAAAAAAAAATAACAAAGTAGAAAAAGCCGAGAAGGATAAACATACATGGAAACACATTGAAATTTTGCCACTAGTTGAATCCAGATTGCAAATTTGTTGATTCATTGTCTATCTTTCATCTCTTGTTTTTGGTTTTCTTAATCCAATCTAGAGCTAATCTAGGACAATTCCTTTTTGAGTGCCAACCTTTAGGTGAGTCTTAATTGTAGTCTTTTTAGTCTTGCTTGGAATTCTTTGAGTTTGTCAAATTCTTACTCTACTTTGGTTTAACTTTTCCTAGTTGAGCTTTTTCTATTTTATCCTTGGACTCCTTGGCTGGAAGCTGCCTCAAACCATTGCAAAAGGAGTAAGCATTAACTCACAAAATCAAGAGAAAGGAAGAGAACCCTAAGGCTAGGAGAGTTTTGGAAAATCAACCATCACTAAAGTTCCTTGAACTTCCTAAAATTACCATCACAAGAGTGATCCTACCTTCTTCATTGTGAGGATGCCTTGTGTTTTTGCTGTGGATTACATGTTCATTGTGCAGGTTTAAAGAACCAAGAGGAAATTCCAGATTAGAGATGGATTTAGAGACCAAAATTTGGGTGCTAGAAAAAACTGTCACTAAAATCCATCTCTAATTCCATCGCAAATTCGTCACTAATTGTTGTTTTAGTTTAATTTGAATTTTCTTGCAATTTTCTATATTTTAATTCATTTGTAATGGCTTGGAGGGAGTATTAAGAAACTGGTCAGGTATAACTCTATCCTAATAGCATCCTCAAGTGTAGTGCTAGTGGAAGTGGCTTGAAAATTCCATATGTTCTTCAAGCTTCCAAATAGGAACTCGACTAGTTCTTGTAACGACTCGCCGTGGCCGTCACACTACGAAATAACACTACACACTACTGTAATTGTTCCGGCCAAGAGGTGCACTAGGGTTTTTTCCTAGGTCAAGCCTTAGAGCCAGAGCATTCAAGAGTGTAATCTGCCCCCTCAACTCTAGGGTTTTGGTTTTTTATCGTCTCTCGTTCATGGGCCTCTTGGGCCCCGAGAATAAAGGGATCTCCTCAATTGTTCTTGTTACGAGGGTGCGCGGCGAGTAAGGACTGGACTAGTCGGATTTTGACCGACTAGGCCCGTGCCGAAGGTGCAGTCGGGTAAAAGCTGGGTTCCCCCCTCATAGGCGAGTGGAGTCAAGCCAGGACCGAGTCGGCTCGATCACCCAGGGTCCACTCGGATAAACGCCGAGTGGCCCCCTGTATAGGCGACTGGAGTCGAGCTAGGACCTAGTTGGCTCGCGCAGAGGTGTCAACTCGGTTGTAGGCCGAGTGGTTTTCAGTCAAACAGAGGATCAGGTCGGATTTTGACCTGGACGGTACACTTGCCTTCCAGCCCTGAGCCGATAAGGCGAGAAGGCTTTGTGGCCTGGTAACATAGTCGGATATTATTCGAGCAGAGGTCAAGTCGGACTTTGACCTGGATGACACACTTGCCTTCCAGCCTTGAGCCGATAAGGCGAGAGGGCTTGTGGCCTGGTAACATAGTCAGATATTAGCCGAGTGGAGGTCAAATCGGACTTTGACATGGATGACACACTTGCCTTCCAGCCCTGAGCCGATAAGGCGAGAGGGCTTGTGGCCTGGTAACCTAGTCGAATATTAGCCGAGCAGAGAATAAACTGAGACGGTACTGCAACAATTGTCTTTGAACCACGTCGAAATTAGGACGAGATGTTAGTCGAGAATAGGCCGAGATGGGGGGGGGGTCGTGTTGTCTCGTGATGTTCCTATGCGCGACTGTTCAGATGCTGACGTGATGGGTCATGTATTTATTACATAGTCATTTTTTGCAGGGCATTAATTAATCACGCCGCCCTTGGTAATAACAAATATTTTGTATTTAATGCTTGGAGCCCCTCCACTAGGAGTCGTGTCGTTCCACGTGTGAAAAAACGCTTCAGGTGCAGCGCTTCATACGAAACGCCGCGTTTTGTCCCTGGCTTCCCATATACGCTTCCCCCCCTTTATAAATACGAGCCCTTTGTGAACCCCTGCCATTTTTTTTGACCCCCTTTTTCTTGTGTGCATTTGCTCCTCCGTGGTTCTTTGAACTTTGTTGTGACTCTCCGGTGGTGCGCGGCGGCTCACGGCGGTGCTTTTGAAGTTTATTTGAGCGTCAAGTTTTTATTTTTGTGTTCTTAGGTACGCCCATCTGATCCATTTGGCCATTTTTGTTTCTGCAAAGCCTAAGTTATTATTTAAGTTAGGTTTTATTCTCGTAATGGCACTCATAAGCTATGGGGAAATGTACAAGTGGGTAAGAGATGACGTTTTGGGTTGTGAATCTTTAATCAATTCTTGGGATGCTATGGATAGTTTTTGTAGGGAGCACGTTGTATGTGGTGAGGGGGATGGTGTAATTATTTGCGAACCTTGTGTAGATAAAGAACCTGTGTGTGTTGAGGGGTCTCTCACCGAGAGGTTTACCTTTTGTTACTGTACTTTAATCTCTAAGTTGAAGGTGAGGTGGCCCCTTACTGTTTGTGAGAAAGGAGTACTCGAAACCTTAGGTGTCGCCCCCACCCAATTCCATCCTAACAGTTGGGCCTTTGTCCGAGGGTTTGAGATCCTATGTGTAGGTTTAGATATAACTCCGACTGTAGATAAGTTCTTTTATTTCTTCGAGAGTCGTATCAACAAACGTAGTAGTTGGATGTCTGTTCATGGGGTGAATGGTCGGGGGCTTTTGACCTTATTTCAATCGTCCTATAAGGACTTTAAAAAATCGTATTTCCGAATACGCTGCTGCCCGGGCCATGAAAATGTATTAGAAGGATTTCCTCTATACTGGAAACAAAAGACAATATCTTTTGGAGGGCTACCTGCCGAGAAGCTCTCCGCGTCCGACCAGGAAGACGTTAAAAAACTTGATGGTCTCAAAACGGTTTTCAACACTGTGAAACTTCTAGACTTAGAAAATAGGCCCAAAGAACTGAAAATTTATATAGGTATTCGGTTTTTTACCGATCCCCTCTTTTTAATTTTTTATCTTCATTTTGATTTATTAACTAACATTGTGTTGCTCGGTGTTGTAGACAAAATGGCAAGCATGAGCAATCAGGAACTGATGAAGTTATGGAAGCAACAAGAGGCTTCGAAGGCCGTGGCCGCCGAAGGAGTCGGCGAAAAGGCGAGAAATATTGGTCCGATATCCCGACCCAGTGTGCTAGGGGAAAGCTCCCACAAACGTCGCCGCGAGATCGAGACGGCGGTCCCCCTTATGAATCTCGAATTCTCGTCTACACAGAAGTTCAATCCACTGAGAGGACTCTTAGTTTATGCATGGGTGAGAATTGGGATGCCATGGACCGTGGAGCTGATTAGGGTAAGGTTGGCTCGTTTTGGGATGAGAAGTTTAACCATTCTACTCACATCCGCCAAACCGATCTGCTTGACGGTGACAAGGAAGATTTGGAGAAGATGAGTGCCTTCTTCATTGTGAAAGGCATTGAATCTCTGACCAATTGGCTCTCTGTTCTTTCCCTAGTCAACGA